GTTTCCTTTTTTTCCGTTAATAGCTCTCTTTTCCTGTCCCTGCAATAGTTGCATGTGTGGTTTGGGTGGTATTTCAGGTTTGTGTGGCCAGGTTTTAGTAGCAGGAGGGCTACAGGGGTAGCTGTAGGTAACAACTTCTGGCAGAAGCTTCTCCCGTGTTGGGTAGAGCTAATGCCAGCTGGCTTCAAGATGGACTTGCTGCTGGCCAAGGCTGAGCCAATCAGGAATTATAGTAATGATAGAATGATAGCAATGATAGCATATCTGAAAAGGAGAGAAATGTTACTGTGCAGTTGTAATGGTGGCCAGAGAGGAGCAGGGTGAGAACATGTCAGAGGAACTGCCCTGCAAACACCAAGGTCAGTGGAGAAGGAGGAGGGAAGGAGGTGCTTCAGGTGCCAGAGCTGAGATTCCCTGCAGACCATAGTGAGGCGGTTATGCCCCTGTAGCCCATGGAGGACCATGGGGATGCAAAGCTCTACCTGCAGCCCCTGGAGAAGACCCACACCAGGGCAGGTGAGTCCCTAAGAGAGGGCTGTGAACTTGTGGGAGGCCCATGCTGGAGCAGGGACCTACAGGGACCTGTACACCTGTGGAGAGAGGAGCCCATGCTGGAGCAGGTTTTCTGGTAAGACTTGTGGACCAACACTGGAACAGGCTGCTCTTGAAGAACTGCACTCTGTGGAAGAGTGAATCACACTGGAGAAGTTTGCAGAGAACTGTGTGAGTGTGAGGGGTCCCACCCTGGAGCAGAGAAAGGACTCTCCTTCCTGAGCAGTGGCAGAAACAACACGTAATGAACTGACAATAACCCCCACTTCCCATCTCCTTGTGCCAAAGTGGGTGTGTGGCTGACTATAGATATTGCTTTTTATCTGTCTGGGTGTCCTGCATCTATATTTTGCAAAATATGTAGTTCTACTTGAATATTTATTATTATTTCTGTTATTACTGTTATTAGAATTATTTAAATTAATATATATTATTAATTCTCGCTCTACATCATGCTAAAATCATGGATGTCTTTTAATTGTAGGCCTTTGACTCTTGTTTTTGGAGAAGTTTCCACTTTGTGTTGTTCAATCACCTTGCAGACAGGCATTACTGAAATCTATGGAAGAATGTAGCAGATTTGGTGAGGGAACTTACTGTGACCCAAAGACTTAAGCTCTGTTTATTATTTATATTAATATTGGTGTTTTTAGAGCAGGATACCAAAGTATTTGTGTGGGAGATAAAAGTCATCTCCTGCAGTTCTGGCTGCCATGTCAGGGTACAGCCATAGCTGGGGACCAGGTGCTGCAGCACTGCGTGATGCTGGCTGCCTCCCTTCATGGAGTGCCAGTCCACGCCAGCTAAAAGGGGAGGATCGGAAGTCAGGAGCTGTGTCCTTATGTGACACTGGGACTCAAGCAGGGAACAGGAGCAAAATTCAGGTTGCTGACAACACATATAATGTTTTAGGTGTCTTTTTTCCCTATAGTGGTTTTCAAGAGCACAGTTGTAGGAGCTTTTAAAAAGCATAAAATAGAGGGTGGCATCTGTCCCTCCCTAATAAACTTGATTAGTACCTTTGCCTTGTCAAAATGATGAATATAACTCAAACCTTGAAGTCGAGGAAATGATGAGGTAAGGACCAGCACAGATTTTAATATAGTCTTAGTCTATATTATACCTGATTATACCAATTGGAACTGATTATACCAATTGGAACAGCTTAGTAACATTAGTATTTATAATAAGCAGGTATGAAAAACTGAGAAAGTATATTTTTGTTTGCATTTTCAGCTTTTATTGTATATGCTCTGGCTTCAAGTAGCTGGGAAATACTTTAGCAAAGGAAAGCATAGCTGTTAGCTCACAGGAAGTACTGCCTTTGGGAAGCAAGTGTACCTTTATAAGGGTGGGATTTATTAGGCTGCAATGTTAATAAAAAGGAAGGTTTCTTCTCACGTGCATTGCCAGTGATGTGATGAGATGCGATGTGACAGTCAGTTGTTTGTGGGTGCGATGAGATGTCACGGAATGGAGGAATCCTCAGATCAAAGCGGGAGGATTTGTAACATTTAGTGCAGCTGAGAACATTTTGAAATGTACAGCAGCAACCTTTGCTGTAGCTCGTTTGCTTTAGATGACTAACACAAAATTGGATGTGGCCCATGGTGACTGTACTTTCTTCCTAGGGGGGTTGTAGTGTTTGTAACATGGAAATAAATGGTTCTCAAAGAAGGTTTCAGCTGCACTTTGGGGCTTATATTGCCTTAACCTCTTATTTCCAAATTAAACTGTGAGGATTTTGCTACCCTTCACATTTCTGAAGGATGCTTCCCTGCTTACTGTAACGTCTTCTGTCACTTTGCACGTTAATTACATTGAATAAATATTTTTTTCAGTACTGTCATGCAACAGATTTTCTTTATTAGGGCAGGGAAGGCATATGTGTAGGAGTCTAGCAATGTGATTCTCCCCTGTGATACAGGGGACCCAGATTTTAATATCTTCAACATGAAAGACGAAAACAGGCATACTGTTGAAATCGGGGTTAATTTTGTATTCATCTACTACTCTGTCTCAGGCAGGGCCAGTACTAGTTGAATAAGGTATAAACAGCTCAGCAATAGTGCTTTGGTCTTTCCAGCTTTTTCCTGTCTGCCTCTTTATGTTAAGTAATGCTTGATGTGCTTTTCTTACATAAATTCTTTTAATGGGAGATCAGATCTGTCATGTCTCAGAAGGTAGACTCAATTCCTTTCATACAATAAAAGGGAAGATATGTATGCGAGGCTGTAGCTGGTGGTGTTCAGAGGCTGATCCCAGGCTGGCTTGGCAGCTGCTTCCACCTCTTCAGACATGAGCTCAGGTCTCCGTTCCTTCCTGGGGCATGGGGACAGCGAGTGAGTGATAAATCTAACAGAGAGTATGGTGAGTGGTTTCTGTAAGCAATGGTGTGACTTCAGGAGAGGATTCATAGTTGAAAAGTCTGAAAAACCAAAGATACCTTTCGTAAGCCTGACAGCAGTCCAATACTACAGTTACACCTTCCACTGACTACCACTTATCTCAGTATTTTCTGTGGAGCTTGTTCAAAGGACCTTGTGAGAAGAGATAAATCCCAGTGAGGTTCTGGAAGCTGTAGTCTTAGAGTGTCTGTGTGAGTTAAGCTGTCAGTAGTTTACTTTCATTGAGTTTGGTTCAGTTTTCTCTCAGGGGGGTGAAGACTCTTCAGGGAAACAGAGCCCTTCTCACATAGTAAACATTGTCTGAAACATCTCAGCTTCAATATGCAAGTGCAACTTGGCCTCCCCTGACCTGTGGTGGCTGTCCGGTGAGACTGCCTACAGGTTGTCTAGCATCAGATGCCCACCTGCCAATGACCCTTTCTTTTCTAGTGCCTCACATTGCTCGTCACAGCTAGAATTAAACTCTTAATAATGTTTTCATTAGTGCTTTTCCAGTGAGACACTGGGTTGAGCAAATTGCAGAGTAAGCTGAGCCAGTAAAGGAGTTCTGGAATACTTGCAGAATCATTCTTTTGAGAGAAGAGACCTGAGCTCCCTGGGATTTGCTGGGTCTGGAAGCACTTGATAATGTTAGCTTAAAGCCTTTCCTCCCCTGCAATACTCTGCTTTCTTCCTTTTGTCACACAACCTTCCCCTGCTATCTCTACAAAAAGGCTTTCATGCAATCTGGCCCGTCAGCTGTTGCTTTTGTGCATTGTGCTGGATCTGGGATAAAGCGTAAGCTCTTCAATTCTGATGCTGTACAGTGTGGCATGAATGCTGATGGTGCTCTGGTTAAGAATAAGGCAACCAAGCAAATGTACAATTAATAATAACTAAGATGTGAGAACAGTGAGTTCCTAGAAATAGTTGCATTTTTAAAGGTTTTCCTTTGCTTTCCCCTTTCAAAGCTGCTCACCTCAGTATTTTCACTATCGAAAACTGCATGGTTAGGAAACAGACTTGTGTGTATACCTCAGTATTACAAGATTTGTCTTCAAAAAGCCAATTAGTGCTTGAAGTAGAAGCTAACTACTTCAAAAATGTAATTCCCATCCTTTGCCTTACAATCAGCAGCAAGCAACCACACTGCTGAACATCACTTTGAGAAAGAGCAAGCACTGGTCTGTTTCTGTACATATTTTCTATGTGTTTCTATTTCTAGAGGTTTTTTCCACTAACCTAATGCGTGTCAGTGTGACCACTGTGTGAAGACAGAACAATCTGCTGCAGCAGAGCTCCTCCAGGGAGATAGCTTAATGAGCCCTAGGATGAGTTCTTAAGTAAAGGACATGAGAAGCTGTAAAGAAGCATAGAAAAGAAAGATGTGACATCTTTGGGAAGAGGAATATTACTTGCCTGGTAGAGGGGAGCAATTCTATTACACATTGCAGTCATAAATGGAAAGCAGTTCTGTTGTGCATTGTGAGCCATAAGTTGAGCATCCATCCTGATTTCCCTTTCTGTAATGAGCAATTAGAAATCAAACTCACATGGATCTCTAAAATAAAGAACTAAAAAGCCCCACCCATTCCGTCATCACCACAGTGCTGACAGAACCTCCCCAGTTCAGATCAGTACTAAGACCACATACATTCTCTTGAGAAATATTTTGTATTTTAGTTTCCTTGGGTTTTACCCAATACCCGCTTGGTTTATGAATGAATTAGCAAGGCAGTGTCACACTGTGAATAAATGTAACATGTCCTCTGTCTGCAGCTCTGTTTTCAACTCTTTTTTAGAACTAGATGTACCAGTATGGGCACTAAGAATCTTGTAGCAGCATACGTATCTAATTTTGAGAAGGGCCAAAAGCTGCAGTTATGGCACCATCTGAGGTAAAAATTAAGATACTCCAGCTCCAGCTGTAATGAGCACTCTGTCAAGTTGTATCCGCCTTTGGAAGCAGAGGGGAGGAGAAAATAGAAAATTAAGGTCTTGAATCGAGCTGGAAACAAAAGTCAGTGCATGGATTGACCTCTGTGTGTTCTTCATTGACAGGTTGATGACGCCTGGGAGTGAAATTCGCTTTGTCCACAAGCACATGGGCCTGGTGCCAGGCTGGGGAGGAGGTGCCCGGCTGGTGCGGATTGTGGGCAGCGGGGCAGCCTTGCGGCTGCTGGCCGGGGCTGCGCGGCTGGATCCCGAGAGAGCGCTCAGCCTGGGGCTCTCCGAGGAGACGCTGCTGTCCTCAGATGGAACCAGAGCGCTGGGAGAGGCCCGGGCCTGGCTGAGTCAGTACACAGAGGGTCCGGCCACTGTCATTCGGGCTGTGAAAAAGGTGGTGACAGCAGGAAGAGAGCTCCCGCTGGAAGCTGCCCTAAGGACAGAGAAGGACATTTTTGGAACTGTGTGGGGTGGGCCTGCCAATTTGCAGGCATTGGTTAGAAGACCAAAACATAAATGATGGTTTATGCATAAGAAATGGGCTTCACTTTTTTGCAAGCAACGCTTTCAGTAAAGCAGCCGTTAAGCTGAATCATTTAAGGCCTTGTCCATTTAAAATGGCATTAACATTCCTGCCATTTAGGTCAGGGAGGCATATTTGGTGTGCAACCACAGAGAAATCCCAGGCAGATTCTCTACTGTCCTAATCACCCACTGAATCGAGATTAGTGAAATTACTATGTAAAGGTAAATACTGTGCTGAAAATAGAACTATAATTCCTTTGGAATGAGGATGAAGATTATTTTATTTGGTGGCTGGTTTTGTTTTTTTTTAAACTGGTATGGAAATTAATTACTTGAAAGATCTGAGGTTTATTCATTTGCAGAACAGGTGCATCTAAAGCTGCAAAATATGAGTTCACCAACATGAGACCAGTGTCTTTAAGCAGCTTGGAAAAGATGATTACTAGTGGGAGGATAGCTTTTATTTTTCCATTCTAGTTAGTTCTTTGTGCAATTGCTGAGAAAGTATCCTTCAATTTTAGTGGTACTTTTACAGGAGAAGCTTTGAGTTACTGAGAAGCTTCTAGCACTCGTTCACTATCACTGATTCAGGCTTTTAAATGTATTTTGCTATCTTCTCACTGCTCAAGGAATCAACTACCCACACATGCATCTGCCCATTCCCATATCCTGTACCTGTGCAAAGCTGCTGGCCTGGTTCTTTACACAGAATCTGGTTGAAATCTTGGAAGGCTGTGATGTATCATGCCCCAAAAAGGTTTGTCCTTAGGTGACTGGATGATGTGAGTACTTCAGCATTGTGGTAAAGATGTGAGTGGATATGTCTGTGTCTTTCTTCAATGTATTTTTACTGGTAGGGTATATTTGGGCTGACTAGAAGGTTTGGAACTCAGTCTCCCCTTCATGCCAGTGACTATGCAAGTAATTGGATAACTTAGTGGGGAAAGTTTTCCCTTTAGAAATTAGAAACTGACACAGAGTGCCTGCTTTAAAAATAAACATCTGTGAGAGCAAAACCATAAAGACATATCTGTAACTGAGAGTTTCCTGACTGTTGGTTAGGATGCACTTGTCTCTAAATCCAGCAGGGACTGAGATCTGAGCCAAGGACCTAAGTACTCTGTGGGAGCATGTAAAGAAGGAAGCTCTGGGCTCTGTGCCACTGCCATGACTTCTGACCAGGTATAACTAGCTCAAGATCATGGAACAAGCTCCCTTAAGAAAATAAGGCAGTATCTTGGATGGAAATCCATGTTACGATTTCCTAGTGTGGCAGGAGTCCTGAGTTTTAGACAGTTTGAGGACTTGGGGACAAATCAAGGTTGGGAATGAGGCTTGGATTGCCTGTTATGATTATGCAAGTTTTGAGCAGATTCTGTGATCTGCTGGGAATGTTTTACTGTGTAGTTTTCACAGCAATGAATATAGCCTGAAGCAACCAAGAGAAATGTTGAGGAAAGGGATGTGTTTTGAGTTGGCATCTCAGAGAAGATAAGGAACTTACCTCCACCCTGTTGATCCTGCACCTTTGCCTTAATATCTGAAGCACTAATGGAGGAAGATTTCAAATCTCTCTTCCCCAAAAATAAAGTTCAATTTTTCCTTTTAGGTTAGAGAAGAAACAGGAATGAGAACATGGGGAAGAGTAGTGTTTTGGTTTGTGCCTTTCTTCCCCCAGCTCCTTTTTATCCAGTAGCGCAGTAGTTACTCCTGTAACTGGGTTCTTTCCCATGCCCTAAAGAACTTCAAAACTGTTACTTCAGAAGAGTGAATGCTTTAGTATAATCAGGCAGCACGTGACTGTTTAGTAGTGAAGTTGTTCTGTTTTTCATGAAGTTTCTCAAGACTCATGAGGGACTTGAGTCTCCAGACTGCAGCATCACTGAACCTTCAAGGCACACTCCAGTCCATACTCATCCAGCTTTTCGAAGCAATAGCACATAATGTTGTTGTGAGTCAAAAAAATATGTTTTAAAGGGCAACTGATTATGTCTTTGCTTTTAGCAAGAATGAATGTGCCATTACTAATACTGTTATTCTTTTTAAAATTGATGTGACAATTACTTAGAACCTGAGTAAGACCCTTGAATCTTTTTTTCTTTTCTGTATTAGGCTCCTAAGTATGTTCTGTGTACTGGGTTATAGAAATTTGAGAGGGAAGAAATTGTAGGACAAAGGCAGAATCTGGTTTCTTTCACATTTTGAACCAGATCTGTGCTGGCAGTTAGTGAATGGTAAGTACACCTCTGGGGGATCTCTTTCCATTTTGATTTATAGACAATGAGCTTAATTCTCATTTCAGCAAATGTATTTCCCCAGCCACCCTTTCTGTTTTGTATCAAAGGCCAATGTTTGCTTCTAAGAAAACAGGGCAAATAATTAACTATTACACACCAAGACACATTCAGAACAGTTTCAGAGAGGGTTATGGAAACCTGTTTTGCTGGTATCATAAATATACCAAGCATAGGTACAGGACATCCTGAAGATCATTACAGTTTGTGATCAAGGATATTGTGAGTAGTGTCATACCATATTCTCTGGTTTATTTTCTTCTAAAAGTAAGTAGAGCCCTTCATACAAAAACCAGCCCACCTAAATTATCATGAGTGCTAAGATGAAAGTTCCAAACTGAGATGAAATGGAATCCCATTTTACCCATTTGAAAGCTAAATGCTTTATTCACAGAATACTTTCTTATCATCTTAAAGTGACAAATGTCTTTAACCAGCAGTTGATAAATGTTTGTATTTTCTTTACAATTATTAAAGATGTCAAGCTTCATCTCAGGGTTTTTTTTTCCCTTCTAATGGTTTAAAAACAAACAAGCACTAAATACACAAACTAATTAGAAACATCAAAATTGATAGTCCCAGTTTCCTAATTAAACAGCATGCCAGCTTTTGTATTTCCTAGGGGCTAGTTTGCCAGCTTCTTCCTCAGCAAACTAAGTTTCCTTTTACATTGTGAAATGTCTGTCTTGTTTTTCTTCTGTGTAGACAACGCAAGGGTTTAATGGGAGTTTGGATTCTGTACCAAGCCTGTAAAGGTTGGATACTGGAGATCACTTTTAGCAATACAGATACTTCTATCTTATTTGCTGCTGATAGAAATATATTTACCAGATGGTCAATCTAGATAAGCAAGGTGTTCTTGCAGAATGCTTGTGTCCCTATCTGATTTATAATTTTTTTAGCCATGAAATAGGATTCCTGTATCTGTGGTTATCTGTTCTGGAAATTATGAGATGCTGTAGATTTCATAGTATTTAAATTTCCTTTCTCATTTTCCCTTCTGCCTCACTGCACATTTATCTGGCTATGCTGCACAAGTTGAAAATCACTTAGTGCATGGAATTACAGTCAACCACATAATGCAGTGTGGCTGTGGCTTTGCTAAAATGGACAGAGAACACATTTCCTACTGAAAGTAACGGTTTAAATATAAGATGGGAATTATCAGTTACTACTTTTCCCTAGCTTGATCTGGGGAGTGCAGTTGCTACTCTGACAGCTGGCTATTAAGGTCTCACCAGCCTTACTTTAACTAATTTTAGTGTTTCACAGCTGCAGTCAGCCAGCAGAAGCCAAAAGCAGCATCACGGGTGTGGGGCTGAACTCCCAGCTTGGGTCAAAAACCCCAAGGATAATCACTGATAGAATTATTTGTAGACTGTTTGGGCTGTAAATCCTAAAATTAAGTATATAGTGGGTCATGTTCCTCTATTTTCTTTCTTGCTTTTTTCAACCCATACTCATGAAATGCGTGCACACGGCTGACGTGTTCTTTGTGAAGGCTTTTGCAGTACAAAGTCATGCTTTGGTTAGAGCCACTGTATACTAACTCAAATCAGAGAAATGAGACAGCTAGCAACTAAAAGAGAAAAAAGCATTCCATTCAGTTTCCTTCCTGAAGTCCATGTAATTGGCATATTTCCTTATGGGACTGGAAGATGATAGTGACAATCTGTGATCAAGAGCATTTATTCCTAACTGAGAATGGAGAAAATCTTCCTTATTCCATCCTAGTCTCACCTGCACTTTCCTGATCCACTCATCTCACCTGTAGGCAGCAGAGGGGCATAACTTTGTCCAATATCAGACACGTCATCCATCATTACAGTAACAAGAACATTATAGATGTTTAAATCTACCATTTGTAAAAGTCAGCCTTTTTAATTCCCTTCAACTGGTTGCTTCCTTAAAGCAACTTCTGTCTTAAGATCAGTAGTACTTATGTATCAGCTACTGTCCCTTTCTATTCTGAGATAAATATACTAAGAATTGGAGTTTAATTAGCTTTATTTTAAAAGAAAGTCCAAAGTCAACTAATGCTGTTTCTCAGTCTCAAAAAAATGCTAAAGAACTGCCAGAGAGATAAAAGACAAGCTGTGTTTCTCAAGATCTGGCTTTTAGCATTCAGAAGTCTGTTGAAATGCAGCTCCCACACTGCTAATCCAAGCACGAAACTACCATTTCTGTGCTGCCACCACAGTTTTGCTATGAACAGATGAACCGCACTACAGTCCATAATATCCACATCCTTAGTTATAGGGTCAGCTTTGATAACTTACTTTTTTCTTTTATCAAAATTCCTGCTGTTAAAATAATGCTGTGTGTTACTTCTGCCTGCCATCAACAGTGAAGTGAGTTAATCAGCTCTTCAGATGTCTGTGTTAAGCCTGCAACTTATGATTTTTCAGTAAAAGATGATACTCCTACATCATTCTGTTTAAGCGACAGCCAGTCAAGGATGCAAGAATGTCAGGATGCCACTCAGAACTAGTCCTCCCTTCTGGTAAACACAGGAAGCTGTTTTATGATCATTTTCTTTGAACTTCCTTCAGTGAAGTTCAATTAAACTGGAAACATATCTGAGATTGTTACTGATAAAATGTAGTTTTATTAAATTATAAATTCTGTAACAAAAACAAGACAGATCAAGAAAGATCTCAATAAACAAAACTACAAGGACTAGATGGCAAAGCCAGTGAAAAAGCCATGGAGAGTGTAAAGGTAAGGACTTGCAACACAAGTTAACAGCATTTTTACATTTCCATTGAAAGAAGGTAAATGATTGCTCTCGTCTAGTAAAAACACATTTTAACTCCAAACTCACATCTATTTTCTCACATTAAATTAAGCATCCTGCTCACACCCAACACCTTGCCTGATTCCACATAGCTTTAGTGTTCTTTTCATACATCAATCCATGCAGAAAGTAGTAAGACACTTAATGCAACAGTCAGATAATGAAGACAATTCAAGTTGTACAGTAGATATACATTGGCCAAAAAGGGATAGAGTATCTTCAAGGGGAAAATGCTACAAAATAAACACAAGACATTTTCAAGAAAACTGGGCATTGCTAAAGAGCTTTCAAACCATTAACAGGACAACCCAGTTTCCTAGAGTTAAAGAGTCTTCCAGCTGAGACATGTTAAGAGACTTAAGTTAAAACAGGCCAAAACTCTTTTCTCCCCTTCACCCCACCCTCCCACCAAACACGCTGCTAGGTTTGAGTGCAATGCCAATGTGGACAGAAAATTTACAGAAAATTACAACTGAGTATTTTTTTTCGCATGGCTCTAGATTTAAACTTCAGTGACTGTGCACTGTCCATCTGGCCTTCTAGATCTTACGCTTGTGTTTGCCACCCCACCCCCTGCCCCTGGTCTATCTGCTCCTGCCTGGCTTGCACCAGCACTCAAGTGTCTCTGCTGACCAGAGGATGGGTGTTGCTGAAGGTGGGCAGACACATCCTCGCTGTCGCTGCTGGCATCCGATTCGGTCTCCTCAACAGAGGTGTCGGGGCCTGGCACCCTACCAGAAGATGATGATTCGCGGTCTTCTTCTCCCTCTCCCCTGTGACTCCTTTCAGCCATACTGTCTCCATTTATTTGCAAGTGGGAAAAAGAGTTCTCTAGAGAATTGCTTGCATCAGGTGATGGCGTCGAAGGGCTCACGAGCTGACCATCTAGTGCTGGTAGGGGCCTCACAGAAATGGATGCTAGAGGCTGCACAGCTGCAGCCCCTGGAGTCAGTGTGCTGTCCGCACCGTCAGCGGAGCTCTCTCGTGCCAGGCTGACAGTGTTGGTGTCACAGTCCAGCCTCAGCCCAGCCACTCCCTTCTTTGGTATATCTATTATGTCCCGTTTTATTTTTCTGCGACGTCCATGCTCATTTCTCCTATACTGAACCATATTTTCAAGGTCTGCCACATATAAAAAACCAGCAATTAGCATTTCAGTGCTCTTTTTACCCTTGGAAAAGGCATCTTCCAGCTCTCTGCTGGTACGTTCATCATACTGCCACCAGCCATTTCTACCTTCATAGTACCAAGCATATTCTCCATTGCCTCTGCTTGCTGCTTTGAGTTCTTCTGGTGACAGTAAGGTTGGCTTGTCAAGAAAATCCTCAGGAATCTCCTGCCGGCAGAGTGCGCATCGTTTCCCAAGCCAAGAAGCGCCCTTAACACACAGATAGCAGAAAACATGTTTACAGGGCAGACTTACTGGATGGACACAAGTTTGCAGACAGATAGCACATTCAGGAACTTGCAGGGAAGGTGCTGCATTGGTACATGACTCATTTGTCTTCCTATTTGTGGGAAGCATGTTGATTGAATGATCTATCTCACCACAGCCAGCCATCCTGCAGAGGATCAAAGAAATTTAAATCAGTTTATTATGTCAACTTAAACTAGCACCTCACATCACATTTCACCTCAACATCCACACAATGAGATGTTTACTTCAAATTAAGGTAAGTTATTGTTTCCTGAGGTGATGGACAACATTGAGTACTGGGAAGATTTCTTTTGCTGATCACCAACGTTTTATCTGTTTAATTTGCAGCATGTTAACATACCAAGTCAGAAAACAAACTTTGGAATTTCCTCTGTTCATTCCCTGAAATAGAGTTGATTAATGAACCTTCAGTCAATCAGTTACTTTGGTACCTCCTCAGGAAATTTAAAGAAATTTTGGTTCTTTCCTCAAGAGATGACGTAGCTGCAAATTGAACTTAATCTCTCTTCAGACTACAGGTGATCATCTGTTTGATTAAGGGACTTCCTGAACAGAATCTCGGACTAGGTTTACACAATAGAAAATATGCCTGACAGCAGCATCCAGCTGAAGAGGTCCCCCACTCTGTTTCTTAGTTCCTGTGCACCATGATGGTACACTACCCTCAAACTGAGCTCAGAACAACCACAGGGCTGCAGAAAGAACCAGTCTGAAAACTGAGGTGGCCTTTTCAGAAGATACCTTGGACTCCTTTTTCTTAAACATCAAGTGAACTCCCTGATACACGTGAAAGGAATCACTGTACACCAGCTGAAGCAGCAGTGTATTGCAGAAGACACACAACTCTGACTCGCCTGGCTTGTGAAGTCATTGCCTTTACTTTTTCTGGCCATATCTTATTTCTGTTATTAAAGATGATTTTGTAACTGTAAGAAAATGGGGAATGCAAATCTGCATCACTGTGGCATCATGTAGGATTTAAGCAGTTGAAGAATTCTAGCCTAAATATGCAAATGCCTGCTCAACTACATTTTTGCCATGGCAAACTTTCACAGTCTGTTTCATGGTAATTTTTCTTTTATTTATTAACAATCAAAACCAAATACCAGATACCAAATGAGGGAGGAGAATGGGCTTTGGGGAATGGGGCCTAAAAAGGTGCCTTTTTTCTTTAAAAACCCCAAGAAACTTCAAGACTGATATTCAACAAAACAGCCTTTCAGTGAAAGTGGTCTTTGTTTTACAGGCAGCTAGGAATAGTTAATGCAAAACTACCACAAGCATGTGAGCCAAAAGGGACCTTTAGAATCACCTAGTCCAGTCTCCTGCTCCACATGGCACCAACACCAATACTAGATTAGACCAGCTGTGGCTTTGTCTAGCTGAGTTTTTTTGAAATCTGCAAGGATGGAAATACCACAGGCTCCCTGGACAGCCTGTTCTAACATTATACATATTTCTAACAAAATGTGTTACCTCAACAGAAAATGCCTACTATTACTGTAAAAGCTTCCACTGTTTTAAAAATCTTATAAATATATGCTGACATTAAACAAAAACCTATGCTTCAGTATCTATATTTATCTTTACAATAATATATCATATGCTATTTACTTAAAACATGTTTCTGTACGCTGTCTGTTCCCTTCTTTCACTAAAATTTCCTCTTCAAAGACCAATGCCTCTTTAATCCTTTTTTTATAAAATAATTATTTTAAAAGCTCTACGGCTCAAATACTTTTTCCTGAAGTAGCACAAAATTGTATCCATCTATGTTTCAGTTTCATATCTGAATTTATTTTTCTGAGATTAATGACCAATCTGCATAACAGTTCTTAAATCAGCATGCCAGATACACATACAGCATTACCTACCAGCTGGCAACTGTGCTTTTACTGCACAGCACACATCTGTGAGATCCATTCTAACAATGTTGTCAACAAATTGCTTTTTGGAAGCCTCACACTTCTGAGGATGTATTTTGCGACAGATTTTTATAGCAAATGTAGGGGTTTATACCAAGAAACTTAATAGAAAAAGGGGAGAAGAAAGTCTGTTGAGATTTCAGAATACCACAAACACAACCCAACCATCATTTCACAACAGAAGAGCTGAAAGAGAAATCTATTTATTGATTAATTTGTGCTAACCATGGCTAAGGGAAAGTATCTTTATTTTCAAGTGCCCCCACAATGCAAAAAAGCACAGCAGCAGAGATTTTTACTTCCATGCTACAGTTTTACAAAAGGATGCTTCTCCCTGAATATCCACTATGAAATTATCCTTTTCCGAGTGAAAGAAAAGATTAAAACAACCTGTAGGTAAGTAACTTCTATACAAGTCACCTATCATAATTAAGATTTTGGAGTGATTAAAATGCAATGCGGGGATCAAATAGGCAATGCACTTTGGTAAACCAAATTGTAATACCATGAGCTAAACTAAAGAGTTTACCCTGAGATAAACCAAAAGAAGAATTAGAAGTCCTCACCTGTTCACTGAAAGCAAAAAATGTTAACATTTGAACTGTGCTCAATAGGTCACCCATTAATTTGAGGCATCACTGGTTCCTTACTAGATCAAGATAATAATGCAGGATATGAAAAGGATTAAATGTTTGATTTTTAATGACTCTAAGGAAAATTTTGTGTATAAAACACATAGAGCTGGAGGATCAAACCCTTATCTCTGAAAGTGCTATGCAGGAACATAAAACTCTGATACGATAAGCACAACTGCAGTTGCATGTGCTCAGAATTCAGGACAATTATGCACTTGAAGATTTATATCAACTACACAGATTCTGTCTCACTTTTTTTTTTTTAAAGCATCATGCTAATTAATATTCCTTTTTTAATTTACCTTTTTAATATCAAATCTAGGTCATGGAGTTTGTTTATAAGCTGGTAGGAGGATGTACACATAGGTTTTTACTGAAGAGGTAATCCTTAGAACGGAGGACAAACATCTTGGACTGCTATTCTGCTATGTTATGGCTGTGGAAGCACTTCCACTGCAACTTCATAGTACTAAGAATTAAACAAAACTGACTACACAGTATTTTTCCTGATATTAAAAGTAATATTTTATAACAAGGTTCAAACAAGGCTGTTTTTATCAGAACTGTTATCAAATAGGAAAGCTCTATGCTTGGGGGGATTGGGTTCCCTTTAAAACACTCCTGGCATCATGAAAAATCATATTCTTGACTACTGACTACTTGACTAAGAATTAACTAAACTCAAAGAATAATTCTAAAAATAATTTTATCCTCAATTCAGGTACAAATAAGGGACCAAAAAGAACCTGAACTCTGCATTTTAACAAATACAGCCTAAAACCGACTGAGACAGTATGGAATTAGTCCAAAATTTTGCGAGATCCCACCTCTTGTGGTTTTTACTGGTAATCTTAAATAATACAGTTAATTTCTAAGCTATGGGGCCTTCATCAAGACATGAAGTATGGAAGACGTGATGTGTAACAACTACATGAAAAGACCCCAGGCCTTCTTGAACTCTAACGGAAGAAAATGTAAATTCCCATAAAATCACTTCAAATTCCAGGTCAAATTATAACTGCAACTAAGTAGTCCATCAAGGAGCTGACCCGTGTAAGTTCATTAACAAAACAACAGCTTACTTTTTCTTAGTAATTTCTACTGAAGCATGCCACAAGACTGAAATGTCCTCTCTTCAGACGTCTCCAGCTAGGATGGCAGGTCCTCCTTCCCAAGGCTGACTCATTCCTGACTTGTCCTGCTCAATGGTACACTACGTTTCAGCTTCTCTGTGAATTAACAGAAAGCAAATAATACCACCATTACAATGTTGTCCAGAGGTACGAGCAAGCAAATACAATGCCATGGTTCTGTTACAGAAAGGAAATTACTATGCTTTTATTTACTTGATGCATGTTATTTTCAATAAAACTATCACCGGACTTTTGTTTCATTTTTTGTAACCATCAATTTTGATCCAGTTTTTATTTTGATGTCTGGCTCAAAAAAATAATCTTTTTTAAAGCATTAGAAAAGGAAATTATTTTTTACTCTAGTAAGTTAATTGCATATAGTGACCACACAAAAGGAGTAAAAGACCAAAGTTGGGAGCATGTTATGTTTATGCAAATTTAACCTCTAATAAATGATCCCTTATATTTAGGAAATTTGGAAAGTCACAATGGCTTCCTGAAGCTTTTTATAAAACTATCTGTATGATACCATCCCAAAGGACCATCTAGCCATGTGTGTTGTCCTGACACAGACTAGTATCAGATGCTTAAGGAGAAAGCAGTGCTCACAAACAGCTGATTTCCCCCAGGTCTTCTCCATATTTCAATCACAAATTTGCCTCTTCATATTCCAAGGCTCACAGCCCTGAATCCTCATCCTCTTTTACAGAGATCATTGCATCCATTTAATGAATGAACCTCAGAACCACTCAGCACTTTCTTCTTTATAAACCTATATTTGTATGTCCTCATACCAGCTTATAAACAAACTCTATGACCTATATTTGATACCTACCAAAGTAAACAAACAAGAACAAAAATTAATTAGGACCTTCCTCTATTTCTTTAAAATGCCCTGATGGGCTCCAAGGTTCAACAACAGAAAGAGTGCATATGATCTCTAAAAAAGAGGACAAGGATGCAACTCAGCCTCCACACCTCAGAGGTAATATACCCCTCTTCAGGCTAGCAGATGATGTCAGTCACAATATATCTGGCGAATGCCACCAACCAGAATTTGAGCCAAGTCACTTCACACAAAAGTATCACTAAGTGCCACTAAGTGCCTAACAAATACCTTAAAAGTTCCTACAGCAGGGAAGTAGGAATCTGCAAACTCAAAAAAGGGAAGGGAGACCATCACTCTTGCATTCTCACAGCCTAATCACGAAGGTCTTGACCTAAGAGAACCACCTTCAGTGAATCCTCTGTAAAAAGACAGTGAATCCTCTGTAAAAAGACACAGAATCACCTCTTCCTTTTGGTCTGTAGCTTTCTGGATGATTCTCAAACATCTTGAACTACAGTTTCCAGTAGCTGCAAAACATTACATATAGGAATGATTTGAAGTAGACTTGAGAATGTCACCTCTTTGATTTCAATTTGTTCAAGGAAAGAATCACTTCAGCATAAATACAGTGCAGAGCAGACATGTAAGAGTCCAGTAAAGTCAAGGAGTGATAAGTCCCTGAAAGCACATGGAGTATTACAGTGTTCTGTGCTATAGCCCTTCATCAAATGATTGAATATTTATCATTAATAATATCAGAGTGTTCAGATGACTTCAGTGCGTGAAGCATTACTCAAATATGTTATTTTCTTTGTAGCTGAGCTCCATGTAACATTTTGTACAGCTATTTTTAGAATGAGCTCCAAAAGAAAAATGCAAAAATTAACAAGCCTATCCACACCTTTTCTCCCCTCACAGTTCTAGCAGACTTCCTTTCTTCACACATCAATCTGAGACCAAGAGCGGCAATCGCGTTAGAATTGTGGCTCTACTAATGCACTGAGACAAGATACTATGTTTTCAATGATCAAAGAGACAGCTGCAACAAGCCTGACGCTCTGGGTGTGGTATTCAGTCCTTCATCTTGGGAGCTGGCTTTCTGTTACTTCAATAGGTATCACCCGAAGCCTTTTATCTACTCCCTCATAATGCTCTACTAGAGGTAGCACATCATAAAACCAAATGCTATGTGGAGATGGCAGAAAAAGGCTGGGTCAGTTTTTGGAGATTTCTTAGTAAATAAAAATGCATACACATATTCAAGCTATGTAATTATACCTAAAAGAATCCAAGGAAGACATAATTACAGGATTGTGATAAGGCAACCTTCCAACTGCGGCAAAGGTCTTGAAAAAAACTAGTTCACACACTGACAGCAAGTAACCCCTACAGTTCATGACATTGCTACTTATTTAATAAGCCAGTCTTGAAAATTCTACTAAATGGACTGACAAACACTTGTGGTTACACACACCCCCCTTCTTGGATGAAGACTCCTCCTTTGAAGTCACCTGGGTAAAGGCTGTGTTCTATACTTAGCAATTAATTTTCTCCTTTTCCTGTACTATGAGGAGTTACGCTATCTGCAGCAACCTGCAGATATCCCTTCCTAAACGCCTGCATCCTATTACATACTGATTTTGAAACTTTAAAGATGCAACAGACAGAAGGACAATGCCACAGGACCATCCTCATCCAAAGTGAGGCTCAGCCAGCATGGAACTGTTCTCTTTGTCCCCTTGAAAGTCTCTCTTACTGGAAGAAGTCATGCCCATTTCTTATGTGCTTTAAGAATTTCAAGTGGTAGACTTCCCACCAGACCCATCTCCCAAAATGACTTCAGGTTCTCCTTAAGAACAATGTTAAGCTTTTACTAGGTCAAGATAGAATGAAACCATTTCTAGCCAGTTCAGCCAACTGTGCTCGTTAAATTATGAGACCCAGTAAATTATCAGGCCCAGAACAATTTTTCCACCCTTATTCCTTTGGGGAAAAAAACCAGCAACAATTACAAACACCACTCCAACCCCCCCCCCCCCCCCCCCCCCCCCCCCCCCCGCCCCCAACAACCAACCAACCCACTGAAACCAAAATCAGAAGCATACATACTTAGGAAGCCAGCTCATATATATTGATCATGAGTTACCTATAGTCTTAAGTTTCCTCTGTAAGTAAAATATTAGCTTTTTAAAAACACACAAGTGCAAGTGCAACACTGGTGAATTCAACAAATATCAGCCTAAGACTATTATATGAGTCCTACTTCAAATAACAGAAATCTAGGAATACTGCAACTCCATTCAGATTATTTCAAAATAGCTATCACAAATTCATTTTCCCCCTTGAAAACTCAGCAGAGTTACAGTATTCTTTCACAAGAGTAAATGTTCTTCTGTAATTAAATATTTGGATTTTTTTCCATCAAGCTCCCTAATTTTTAACTCAATTGGTGGGTAGGAGAGGAAAATGATCCCCTGCATTCTGCCCTTCCCCACAAGTAACCATGAGCCAGACAATGTGGGAAGAAAGAAGGCAGCTGTTTTATTTAATGAGAAAAATCACTCTCCTGTCTGATGGTCTGCTAGTGTCAATACACTACCAGCTCAAGGTACTGACTCTCATCAGATATGTTTAAATCTGTCCCTGGTACTGGACAGCACAACAGATAAATAACCTCACTGTTTCCTGTGCTTGCCTACTTTTTTTCTATCTGTTTCTTAAACTTAGAATATTCTCAGGAATTGCTGATTGTGATGAGCTGCCTGTCATTCCTTATCGTTGGTTACTGCATATTAGTAAACCCCAAACATTTATATGTGTGCTTGGAATTGAATCATAGAATAGTCAAGCGCAGAACAGGCAGCCATTTCAGTATTAAAATGATACATGGATTGAAAATGAGGTTGTTCCCTCATTACAAATGTTACAAATGGAGCACTCGAATTTTGAGCATATATCCTATTTCAATCTATTTAACAAAGAAAAATGTTAATTTCTCACTCAAAAGCAAAAGTGTACAAAAAATGGCAAAAAAATGGCGCAGAAATTGGTTCATCTTAAGTTACCAATGCTTCAGAAACTCATGTAAGTACAGGGACATCTCTTCATGTATATATATAGATATATACATACTTGATTAATATGCACAGAAGAGAGGAAAAAAATCAGTTTCAATATGAGAACTTTTCCAGGGACTCACTATTCAATAGGCTGTAAAAATACTGCCGTTCCAGCTCTTTAAATAAATGACAACTCAATTACATCTAAATTGATGCAATATATTTTGAAGGAAACAAGAACAAACTTTTTTTTTTCACTCACTACAGATTTTGTATTATAGCAATTTAAACAACTGGCACTTCATCAACTTGGAAAGAAAATACAGTATTAAACACACAAGACTATAAAGCAAGTTCTTGCAAAAACGTTCAACATTTAATATTTATTCAAAATTACCAAATGAAGATTCAGATTTCAGCATGTCTTCAATACTATTTCACGCTGTAATTTTTGGTACCACATTTCTAGAGATGCTTCGGAATCTATTTTTGAGTAGCCCACCGTTCAGAGGCAGCAGCTAACAAAGCAAGAAGGTTCGGATTTTTAGTATTAGAAACCTGACAGAGGCAAAACGTTTAAAGCTCTGCTCCCTATTCCTCCTTAAAATTGTTAATATATAACTGCATATTACATACCAGTAACAAAACCCACAGCGTTTCTCAGGCGTACCACTGAAAAGCTGTACTAAGATTAAAACCCCCCCACCAGAGTTTCACTTTAACTATTTCACCATTCCGATCGTCTTATTCGTACAAAACCCTCGCATTTACTTCGTGTTTTTCAGCGGCGGCAACACGTACCGCGCCAAAAGCAGGACCCGTTTTCACATTTCACGTCCCCTTTCAACATCCCTAAGGGATGCAAAGCAAACACTTGAGCCGAGGCGGTCAAGCACAAAGAAACAAAAGCACTTCTATAAGGAACACTTAGTTACTTCAGTCTGCCGCCGCCGTGACCGCCCGTGCCGCCGGCGGCAGTGACCGAGGCGGGCCGGGCACAGCGGGGACACGGCAGGGGCCAAGGCACACATGAGAGCGCTGCCCATGCCCTGGGAATCAGAGCGCTGCGCCGGCCCGGCCCGGGGATTCCGCCACGCGTGACGCCGCCACGGCTACTGCTCCTGACCTATTTTACTGCCCAGCACAACGAAACCCCCGACTCACATGAACCAATACGGTTGGAAAAGACCTCCGGCCATCGAGCCCAGCCTAAGCCCGGGCCCGGTCAGGCACTCTGCGCGCACCTCGCTCCGCACCGGCGTCGGGGCGCCGCCTCCTGCAGGGACACGGCTCCGCGGAAGGGGGCCTGGCCCGGCAGGAGGGACCGGGAGGCTTTGCCGGCGGTCCCGGCTCTCATTCCCAGCCTCTCGGGAATGAGATGAATGTGCGGGGCCTTGGGAAGGGCTCCCGACAGGGCTCAGCCGCCGCGGCCCCGACACCCGGCACGTGACCCCGCGGGCGGGGCGGCGGCGGGCGACACCCCCACCCGCCCCGCCGCCAAAACAATACCGGGCAGGGCTCTGCCCGCCGGGCAGCCGCCCCTCGCTCCGCTCAGCCCAGCACGGCCGGCCTTTTGTTCAGGGCACTCACCCGTGCGGGAAGGCCGCGGCGCCCGCTCCAGCTCGGCCGGCGGCGGAGGGGCGAGGGGAGGCAGCGCCGCCCCGGCACCCGGCGGCCGCGCAGGGGGCGCTGTCGGAGCGGCCTTTGGTGGCCAAGGCCGCCGCCGCCACCGCCTCCCCCCGACCGCTCCAGCTCGGGCGCGCCCGCGGC